CTGCGGCTCTTCGTCAGGCAGCGGCCTGGGGGTGCCCGGTACCCCGCAGCTCACAGGAGCTGGACAGTGCATTGTGGGATAGCCGTGGGAGGTGAGCCGTAACTGTAAGCAAAGCTGTTGGGGATCCGCACGGGCGAGGCTTTACACTCCAATGGCTTCATCAAAGTTGCTGCCTGGCCTTGGGAAACTGTCGTCTCTGTAGCACAGTTACTGATACTCTGACAGGTCGTTTGAAAGGGTTTTGCAGATCTTGTCCACGGAGTTCTCCCCATCTGTGTTAGCCAAATGTGTTCCTTTTTTTCTGTTGTTGTTTCGTTGGGTTGTTTTTTTTTTAATTTAGCGGTCATTGGGGAATCTTAGGTTTTGACTCTGAATGTCCATACTTCTACATCTAGAGTAGTATTTTGAAAGTTGTCTGCTAAAGTGTACTAGCAAAACATTCTGTTGTGGTTTAACCCCAGTCAGCAGCTAAGCACCAGACAGCCGCTTGCTCACTCTCCTCTGGTGCGATGGGGGAGAGAATCAGAAGGGTAAAAGTGAGAAAACTCATGCATTGAGATAAAGATAGCTTAATAGGTAAAGCAAAAGCCGCATGTGCAAGCAAAGCAGAACAAGGAATTCATTCACTACTTCCCATCAGCAGGCCGGTGTTCAGCCATGTGCAGGAAAGCAGGAGTCCATCATGCTTAACAGTTACCTGGGAAGACAAATGCCATCACTCTGAATGTGCCTCCCTTCCTCCTTCTTCCCCCAGCTTTATATGCCGAGTATGACATCACATGGTATGGGACATCCCTTTGGTCAGCTGGGGTCAGCTGTCCCAGCTGTGTCCCCTCCCAACTTCTTGTGCACCCCCAGCCTCCTCGCTGGCAGGGCGGTGTGAGAGGCAGAAAAGGCCTTGACTCTGAGTAAGCACTGCTCAGCTGTAACAAAAACGTCCCTGTGTTATCAGCACTGTTTTCAGCACAAATCCAAAGCATAGCCTCCTACTAGCTGCTAGGAAGAAAATTAACTCTGCCCCAGCCAAAGCCAGCACGCATCAAACACATATTTAAATCCTAGTCTAGACAACGCCTTGGCTTTGTGCTTTCATTCATGTTATCCTGTGTATTTGGAACAATGCTATGCTGCTTAATATGCCAAGCACCTCCTTTCTCTGTTTTCAGATCCCTTCTTAACTCTCGTTTCTTCCAGGAATTCTTCCTGCTTCTATTTGCTGAGCAACAATCCCTCTGCAGCACTGTAAGAATTTTTGTGCCTTGCATTTCTCTTGTTTGTCATGTTCAGCTCACTTCGTAAGATTTCTGAGGTAGCTGACTTGACTTTGTGAAGGCTGGATAAACTGAATAAACTTAAGTCATTATATCCATGCTGTTCAGTAGTCTAGATGAAATAACAGAAAAATCTTCACCTGTAAAATGTACTAATTAACAAAATGTTCAAGCCAGCACTTGGAGTAATTGAAAGTGAATTAGATGTTTGGGATTCCCTTGTGTTTCAGGTGCTGTGGCACAAAATGCCTAAACAGTTAATGCTGTTACAGGGTAGGCAGTTCTCTACAGAAGAGAGTTGCTTATTGGGGTAAACACAAGTCTTCAGAGACAGTGTAATCTTCAGTACGGAGTCTTGTAACTGATATCATTAGTTTGTGTCATTAACAGGTTTAACTAATTCCAGCTTAAATGCTGATGCCTATGTTTCTGCTTTTACTTTGACCTGTTTGTGCTCATTGGAAAGAATCACTTGTCAGGCCCTTCTGCAGCACTCTAACTGAATGCTTTCAACATTGCTAAATTAATGCTTTTTAAAATTGCAAGGGGAGTCTTGTTCTGTGGGTATTGCTTTATGCATACCGTTACTCTTCCATATTATTCTGGATATATTTTCATAAATGGTCTTAATAATCCTGTTTCTTCTAGCTAGTGTGCTTTGGCTATGTGAGAGAGCAGCCACAGGATTCTTAGCTGGGTAGCAAAATGGGACCTTGACCCTAGCTCTCCAGTAGTCTGGACACAAGAATGCAAGACAGAAGTGGAGGTTCAGTCTTTCATCGTTTTTTTACAGATCTTAGTACTGAAAATACGCGACTGTACATAATGTTAAGATTGTAAGGTTAGATCAGGAAATGCTGATATAAGGCTGCAGGAAGAATTCAAATTGCGTCATCATTTGAATTTGTGATGTTAGGCTTTTGAGTATTACAACAAATTCTAGATATCTACTTTTAGACTTTATAGTACTGGCCAATAAGTTTCAGAAAGCAGATGAACACTGTAGCCTATTTTGAATTTTAAAAAGCCAACAGCAAGAATATTTTTTCAGTACCATAACTTTAAAATTTCTCTTACTGCTTTGTCATCTCTTGGGGGGGAGAAAAAATGGAAAAAAGAAAACCTTAAATACTTAAAGGAGGAACAATATTGAGAAATTAGACAAGCTGTTTCCTTTTAGGGGAGATTTTGAAAAAGTGAATCAGACCTGTAACAAGAAGGTAGTTTCAGCTTTCACTACATAATGGGCCTTAGTAATGCTTGTGTACAAGTACAAATGCTGTCTTTTGTGGGCTGTTATCTTTGTGCTCAGTATTGTGATGATGATGTGCTCAAAAAGTAAAGGCCATCGAGTGCAGCAGTTCTGTTGGTAGATTAAAGAAGAGGCGGTGATGTTAAAAAGTGATGTGACTGATAACTATTCTTGTTGGCAGTTAATCAACTTTGAAACTGGTGGCTTTGAACGGAGATTGGTACTGGTGTTTGTACGTCCTAAAATCTAAGCCTCCTGTGCTCCCACAAATCCAAACTTACTGTCTGGAGTTCTTGAAATCTTGTGTAGTTCCATGTTTCTTTTGTAACAGGACATATTATTGTGTTACAGAAGATGCTTTAGTAGACCTGCTTAGTCCTAAAGCTGGAAAGTCTGTTTCCGTTCCTCTTTGTCTTCAAAGGTTTCCCCAAAGTACCCAAGCTGTTGCTGAATTATGTTTAAATGTAGCAGGTACTTAGCACAGCTGAAGTTAGACCCTGTACTTAGGTTTGTAAATGTGAGCTTAAGGACGGATTTTGGAAATCAGTTCCTTAGCTGTTTATTGAAAGTAAAATCCAGCATAAAACAGCTTAGGAGCTCTGCTGTTGTATTTGGGCATCTAACCTGAGTGGATTTCTGTGCAGTAATAACGAGCTTTTGTTTGCAGCAACACAAATACTTTTATTGATGCTGTATCAAATCCTATAATGTCTGAAACTCTTTTTTTTTTTTTTGCTTTCCCCTCAGGCTTAACACAAGGCCAGTATTTGGAGGTGTAAGGTCTCGCATTGGAGTACAGCAAAATCTTCTAAACAGATCATCACCAGCGGTCAGCTTCCAGCGGACATTTGATGCCCGACAGAAGATTGGACTCACTGATGCCCGACACAAACTGGGGGTTAAAGATGCCCGTGAAAAACTGGTTCAAAAGGACGCTCGGTTCAAGATCAAAGGGAAGGTGCAGGATGCTCGAGAGATGTTGAATTCCCGTAAACAGCAAAGTGTTGCTGCTGAAAAGGTGACCAAAGTGGTGGATGCCAGAGAGAAGATCAGCTTAAAAAGGAGCACTCCAGCTGCCATCAGCCCAACTATGGGGACAGTAAATCCAGCCATGAAAATCACCAAAACTATCCAAGTAGGTCAAGCAGGCCACCTCTGAGCCCCTCAGTTACTTGGCAGCAGTCCAGTGGAAATCATAATATTTACATGAATATGTTTATGTGTTTACAATAGAAGTGCTGGTACTATCCTGTAGGGCAGGATTCAGAGCCTTTTGGGTGTTCTTGCAGCTGCTTGGGGCTTTTTGTAGAATCCCAGCTTTCATTTAATTTTTTGTTTAAATTTTGGCCCCAATAAAGACTAAAGCAGGGCTCCTGTCAGCGTTAAAGTAGTTGTCTTGAATGGTTAAGTAGACTCTTTCCCACCTAAATGCAAAGAAAACGTATACATTTTTTGTTGTTCTTATACCACCCCTCTTTGCAGGTCTGATGTGGTGGATTGTCCTGTCTAGATAACTGGTTTATCCTAGTGGTGGAATAACAGTTTGGAATATACAGCTATGTTTATATCTAAGAGGATCTAAAATTCAATGACCCCTTCTACCATTTCTGTATTTCTATTTGTCTGGTTTTCAGGAGAGCCCTGGCTTCCAGGGAGTTGCCTGATTACATGACGCATTCCTGTTAAGGCTCAGGATTCGTTTCAGTTGCAGTATGATCAGCTGATCACCGTAACCTGCTGATTTCCTTTGACAGTTTTCTAATTTCGCTTTGCTGTGTGCACAGTAACTTGATTCTTAGCAAACTTCTCTGAGTAACTACTGCTATTGAACTATGTGTGTGTTAGGCACAGTGGGTAGAGTCAGAAGAGAAGTGTAGAGTCAGAAGAGAAGTTTCCAGGCTGTCAGGATTGTTGTTTGAGAAGCGGTTTTGTTCCTCACCTCTACAAGCATGTAACTGAAGTTCCTAGCCTGCCTCTTTCATCTTCCTCCTCCCGAAGGTCAACCAGGGTGCTTACACATACCCAGAAAATCTCCTGTTCTCATCAATTTGAAAGCCTGGATGAGTCTGCTTTCTGTTCAGCTGTGGGTTTTGCTCAAGAGCATCAAGCGTATTTTGTCTTTAAATTAGCCTAGGAAATTTCCCATTACTCTGCAGGTTTACTGCCAGGCTGATGTAAGAAAGAGAAAGGACTCTTGTGGCAGTAAGAAGGGCTAATCACAGAGCAATAGAACATGGTCTGTTCAGTAGTCTTTAATTAGTAGGGTAGTTAATACTCATGCTGTCCTCCTAAGCCAAATCACCACCGTCAGCCATTAGGAGTTGAATGTTTTCTAAAAAGTTTCTGGGTGTTAAAATAGTTTCTGTAGACTTGGTACAGCAGCAGTTTGCTCTGATCTGATTTTTTTTTTTTATGACTTGGTTTGACCTACAGTGCTTTCGGTTTGTTAGACAATATATTGCAAGAAAAAAATATTGTAAAATATAATAGTGATGAAGATTGTAGACAAAGCCATGCACATGAGCAATTATTGAATAATTTTTTAAAGATTGATACCTTGATTTCAGATTGCCCGTGGTCCTCCTCTCTTCCCAAATGTGGGAGCAGAATCAAACTAAAGTATCTTGATCTGAGATGTAGCACGCAGCTCTAATGTCCTTTACTGTGGTCTTGTTTCTTATAAAGGAAGGGAGAAAGTCTTTGAAACCCAGAGAATTTCCATAGCTCTGCTGGTGTTTCTCTAGGAGAAGTACCCTTGTTTGTGAATTGATTAGCAAACTGAAACATGAGGGTGCTGTTGTGTAAGTTACAGTCTAGAGAAAATGCAAATCTGAAGATTTTTACTGCCTGCGTGGAGTATTTTTGTAAGAAGATCTATTCTTTTCTGTAATGGGCAGCTTCCAGCTTTTTTTTTTTTTTCTTTTTTTTAAAAAAAGGGGATTTTTGAGGGAGTTGCTGCTTGATTTCAGTTGTTGATTAGTACAGCTGCGTTCCTGACTACCTCTGTTGTGGTTTCACTGTTTCATGGCATAGCAGAGTGCAGAAGGGTCAGCCACAGTACCCCATGCATAATTTTATTTCACTGCAGCTTATTCCAGCTCTAGTGTGAAGGAGCAGTATATACTTCTCCTTTGTAATGGAACTGAAGTAAATTGTGTTGTGTCACAACTTGCTGAGTTTGATGGAAATAGGTATCTTTGGTTCCCTGTAGCGTAAAAGAAGAGAAGCTTACTTTTTTACCCCATTCATGGTTTCATATTGGCAGAAATGTAGATCTAGTCACTGCTGGCAGGGCTGGGGTTAAGTCCCCTTCCCACTAATCTTGGACTAAAACTCAGGTAATTTGAATCAGTTTCTCTGCATGGCCTTAGGTTTTAATTTCTTCAGTTGACCAAAGGTATCTCATATTAAACATACTACAGGAAATATTGGCATTATCTAATAGCATATTGTGGTAATATGTTTCAAGAACAGGAGACTGAGTTTCATTTAATTGGTCTCGAGTATCAGCTAACAGCTCCAGTCTTCTGAAACAGTGGACTGTAGTGTTTTAATGCTTTGGTTCTTTCCCTCTTAACTGTAGCAGAAGGCTCCAGTTCCTGTACACTCTCATCCAGCAGGAATGAGGATCAATGTGGTGAACAACCATACACACAAACAGGTGTGTGCCCACTCTGTGCTCTTTGTTACCTTTGGAGGGAAGGAAGGAAGGTGTCCGTAAACATTGGCAGGTGCAAAGAAAACTTCAACTATGAAGAGAAAAAGAGTGTTCGGAAGTTTTCTGACAGCTTAGCTTCCTGTTCTTGTGTGGTTAAGATACTTCCATGGTAGTTGAGGTTTTAATTTAGTCTAATGGATCTTGATTCCTTGTGTGTTATATGAATGAAGTAGTTATGCCCAGTTTTTGTCTGTATGCCCTGACTTTTTTTTCTAGAGACTGTGACCTTTAGCTCTGATGTCTCTATAAATTTCTCAGTAACACCACATCAGATCAAGTTGTTGGTTGTTTTGATTCACCATCCTGCCAGCTTCTTCAGAGAATGGATATGATTGTACATGGTCAGATGTCCTACAGTGAGGTGGGAGAAGGTGAAACCTTCCTGTGAAATCCCAGCTGTGGGTCCCTGCTGGAAACCTGATAGTGAATGATGCTAACTGGTATTCTGATGTGCTATCAAAGATGCCATATTTCTTATCAAGCAGACTTTGAGGAAGACCCTAGAATTTGTGCTGTCTCTTCTGGGATCAGTTTTAAAGGCCTTTGTCACAGCTCCCAGCCATTCAATCACCTTACCACCTTGGGTGCTTTCGGAGAAGAATTACACATTTTTATTACTTATTTTGTGTGTGTGTGTACATAAAGTATTACATGAAATATTGGAAAACTGATATTTACAGTATAAAGTCCTGGGTTTTTTTGGCCTTGATTATGGTAACTTTAGCTATTTGTCTGTTACCTCTACATTGACCTGCTGCCCTCACCTATCCCGGATGCTGTCACTTAAGGAAGTGTCTTCATTATTCTGACCTCGTAACTATAAGCCTCGAATCCATTTCATTTGTCTCAAACTCAAGTCTGTTGTCTGGATGGCTAGCGTTTTTCCCAGTTCTTTTCTTTTTTACACAATTCTCCTTTGTTCTACCATCACTTTTGTTTCTCGCTTCATAGCATTTCTGTGACTGGAACAACTTTCCTGTTTGTAAACTGGAATCTTGCTGACTATGAAAACCCACTTATTTTGCAAGCTCTCATTGCTAATACCTTCATTTTTCTTCTCCTTTCTACTGGATTAATGGGGAGCTGTTTTGAGTTGTGACTTCTTATGTTCTGGGCAGTGCTGTAGGTGTATAGACTTTTTCTTAACATTATTTAGAGTTGATGAAAAAATACTTGTGTAGAAGTTCGCCTCAGTATTTGAAGGCAGGGCTATGAGCATTAACTGGGAAATTAATTATTCATTCACTAAACCTCCTAGTGCAGTGGTTTTTAGTGCCAGACAGATATGTGCCATGCTGAGGAAAGCAGGCTATTCAAAAGGAAACTTCAGTTCAGATGTATTTGTCAGGCATCTGCTTAATTAAAGAAAATGAAAATATATATGTACAGGCTTCAACTTTAAAGGTAGCAGGGTGCTAAAAAGTAAGACAATGAGGCTTTATTCCATTAATATGGTTTCATCAGTCCCGGTGAAGTGTAGGGATCAGAGAAATCTGTACGTGGTGTCAGTACACCTAAGGAAACAGTTTTACTGTGGCATTTCTGGAAAAGAATTTTGATAGTTTTCACACTGATATTTTGAAATGGACTTGCATACCTTCTGCTATGTGTCCCCAAGCTGCAAGGACAGGAGTAAAGTCCAGTGTAGTCATGTTCATTATCTGAAGAAGGCTGAAGATGGGGAAAAACTACTTGTTTTGGAAATGATATCTAGATTGTATCTACCTGCTTGTAAACTATTACCTTGCTTCTCTTCAGGGTCTGTATGACGTGGAAGATGATGATGAAAGTGTCTCTCCCCTTACTAGCAAACAGATGAAAATCACCACCGCAAACAGTTTCCTGCACAACGCGGTAAGGGGTTATCAGAACAGTCCCCACCACACCATGCTCACATTGGGTGGACACACAGGCTGCTGCTTTACAGGGCTTATGTTCTTTTAGAGTATATAAATGATGCTTTCTCCTGAAATGTTTGCTCCTCAGCCCACCCGTCGCTTTGTGCCAATGCTTCTAGTGTTATTTTTAGGACAGAGTCACTTTTAGGCTAACTGGTTTTATAAGCCTTCTGCAGCCAGAATGTGTGTTCTCCCTTGCTGGCAGGTTGCTGCATGTTAGCTCTTGACTTTCTTCTTGTTGGGGAAGTGCTTTGAACATATCTCATTATTGTTTGAGCAGGCAAGCAAGGGAAGCTTTCTGCTGCTTCTAGAGGCTGCACATCAAAGCAGGAAATCTCTTGCCATGCAAGAATCTTAGTTGGCAGCTTGTTGGGCAGTGTTGCTGCTCTGGAGAAGATGGAATTTCAACACAGACAAATGCGATGTCTTACTCGTGGGCTGTGATAACTCTCTGCAACTCAAACTAAGAACTGACTGGCTAGAAAGTGGCTTTGTAGGAAAAAGGCTGGGGGTCCTGCTGAGTGATATAGTGAGTGAGTTAGCAGTGCATCCTTGCAGCAATGGAGGCCAACTGTAGATTGTGTATTAGTAAGATCATTGCTAGCCAATCAAGGAAGATAATTATTGCCATCTGTTTGGCATTTTGAGATTGCATATGGAGTACTGCACCTATTTTTGGGCTCTGCAACACAAGACAAACTGACAGACTGGAACTAGTACAACAAGGTGGTCAGGAGACTGAGGAGAGGATGAGAGCAGTGTCTCAAGGCTGAGAAGGGAAGGCTGTAGTGAGTTCTGTCCATGCACTTTCACTGCCCAGTAGGTGGTAATGGAAAAGGCAGAACCCAGGTCCTTTTCAGGAGTGAACGGGGGAAAATGAACCAACAAATGAGCTGCAGCAAAAGAAACTCTAGTTAGATGTGGGAGGAGAGTTGTGCAATTCTCAGGGCATTGATCAGCCTCTGGCACCGGGACCGGGTGAGGTTGTGAAATCACTGTTCTTGGAGATATTCAGAGTTTAGCTGGATGAGGCCCTGAGCCAGCCTGATGTGGCTTTGAAGTTAGCCCTATTTCAGACGTGAAGGCTGGATACGGGTTTGTCCTAAGTTATTCTGTAGGTCTAAGAAAGCAAATTCATGTGGTTTTTACCATCACACAGGCAGTTTAGTGCAGTGCTTATCCCATTTTTTTTTTTTCTCATGTGAGTATTCAGAATAGAGCTCCTGGCCATTTGTGATCCTTAAAATCAGCCTTGTGGGGTGTTTGCAGGAGTAAATGTGTTATCTCCAGTGTTCCCAGCAGCTGCGCACAATTTTTGTTCTGGCTTTAAACTCCCCAGGTAGTGCCAGCTAGAAAGGTTACGCTCCATGTCTTTGTGTACCCTAGCTTGGTGTTTCTGAAGAAGTATTGCTGTTTGTACTGGGGCAGCTCAATCTTATTGTTAATGAGCAATTTTCCTGTACACTTTGTAAAGTACTTGAAAGTCTTTGGATAAAAGGAGCTTTTTCACATTGCAGTGGTGAAGTTAATTTCAGAATATGAAACTGGGAAGTGCTCTTCTGGGATAAACATACACCCAGAAACTTAGTTGATTTTTTTTTTTTTTTTTTTGTCTGAAAGCTGAAGGTTTCCAGCACCATAGTGGTTTTGACACTGGAAAGGCCATGCAGTTCTTAGTGCATGCTAGTAATGCTGTCCTGCTGTTGGTGCTTGAAGAGGAGGGATGACTTTTGTAGCCTGCAGCACTCAGAGATACTTTATTTTTCCTGTAGACTGGGCTGACTGGCAATAAATTCTCTCTGTCCAAGACTGTTCCTCTGACTAAAGTGGTCCAGAATGATACGTACACAGCACCGCCTGCACCTCCCTCTCCTATGCGGACAAAGGCCTTGACAAACATGTCCCGGACTTTGGTGACAAAGGAGGAGCCTCCAAAAGAACCAGCACCTGTTGAGGTGAGCTAAGGGAAGTGGGAAATGCTCTTTACAGAAGTCTTTGAAACATCTGAAACTTGCTGTTCATCGGTTATGCAAGCAGCTCCTTTCTGCCTGCCTTCCACGATTATTTCTGGGACTCCGTCAAGTTTATTCTGATAGCTGCAACCCGTGTCCCAAGAATTTGAAACCTGTCTAAACATCCTTTTCTTCAGCATTTGAGAGACTGGGAATTATCAGTTAGTGCGTCTTGCTTCTCTCAACTTTTTTGTCTGGCATGGGAGCTCGTGGTCCCAGAGGAATCCATGTTACAGGGGGGTGGTATTTGTTGTTTGGACACTCCTTGGAGGCTTCCGGGGCCCTAGGAATATGGTTTAAACACTGCTAGTTATGTTCTCTTCTGTCTGCTCTTGTTAGCAAGGAGAAAAATGTGATTCTTCCAAATACAGCTTCTTGCTGCCCACACGAGACCTCTCGGGCAATTTGTGGACAACCTGTCTGGAATTGCTTCCCCAGACTGACTGGTATTGGGTACAGATAACCCACCAGGTGTTCCCAGGCATGTTGAGTTCAGCGTGCTTTTGAGGGGCTGGAGCCGTATTTTGGGGTTTGCTGGCTGGAGTAGAGTGCATCAGAGACACATGCTTAGAAATGTGGACATGACCATAGAGTACTGTGTATGTATGCAGATTAAGTTGGTGTTATACTTGGGAATGAAAGAGAAAGTTATTTCAGAGAGATATTAGCATGGAAAAGGGGCTCCTTTTCACCATCAGATGAGCTGGGCTTTTGTAAGCATTGATACTTTCCATTACTAGCTGTAGCTCTCACCTTTGTGTGTGCACACGGACTTTCCCAGACATCCCTTTAGTGACTTTTAATGCTTTCTCTGCTGTGCTGTCTTGCCTACTGCATTTCTGACCTTTTTTATGTGATGCATTTGTTTGTGTTGGCAGCTGGCATTCAGTCCTTTGGAAGGCACAAAGATGACTGTAAACAATCTGCATCCTCGAGTCACAGAGGAAGACATTGTTGTGAGTGGTGCTTACTGCTGGACTGCGGATGAGTGACGCTTCCTTCCCTTAACCTACCTCTTTTGATAAGTCACTTGATCTGTGGTGAATGAAATGAAGAGGGCTATGACATGGGTTTGCTTTCCTTGCAAAAACTTTAGAGAGTTCCTGATCTTGTTTGGGTTTTGTACACTTTTTTAAAACGTGTGTGCTTAAGAAGTTGGGACAAAATACTGTTTCTAGGGTATACTGAGATAGCTGGCATCACTTAGAGGCCATGCCACATCGTGCTTGGTGTTGTCCTTGAACTAACACCCCCATCCAAATTATCCAGGTGCTTCCATTCTCAGCAGGCTGAGAAGGACCCTGGTCTTCATGTGTGACAAACAGTGTAGAGTACTGGCCTTGATCTTTTCTGCTTGTGTTGGTAGCAGCATGGAGCTTTGTGCAACCTGTATTTCTAAAGCTAAGAACTTGTACTGTAGCAAACACAAAATAAGACAAGTGGCAAAGTGGCAAGATTCTGCCATGTATTTACTAAGCAGGATGGGTGGTGTAATTTGGAAACTAAGCCTTTCTCACTCAGTGTCTTTGGCTGAAGTGGTACCTTTGATGTGACCATGGTCATGACTCTTTGTCCTCAGGAGTTATTCTGTGTGTGTGGCGCTCTGAAGCGAGCCCGGCTGGTGCACCCTGGAGTGGCTGAGGTAGTATTTGTGAAGAAAGAAGATGCTATCACAGCATATAAGAAATACAACAACAGGTGCTTGGATGGTAAGTTTGAGGCCAGAGTTGTGTGGACAGATAAATCGCAAAAGACTTTTCTACCTCAGTGGAGAGTTTAAAAACATCTCAGATGTTTATATGCTACTGAGAGAGAGGAAATGCCAGAAAATCAGTTCAAGAGCTAGGCAATGTAATACACTCCTATGTAACTAGCTAAATACATGCAAAGTTTATTTAAGAGAAACTTAAAAAAAAAAAGAAAAAGGCTTTCCTTGAAAGAGGATGCTGAAATCTAGAGGCAGGGTCCTGGTGATTCCACTGGTTTTAAATTCCAGATTATATTTCTTTTGTTTCTGATCCAGTGCCAAGAGCTAGATAGTCCTTAGGAAGGCTTTACCTGCTTACGGAATAGCTGTTTGCGAAGTACAAATAAAACTAGTATTTGAAAAACTCTCAAGGCGTAGTCAGAGACATGCTGAATCAGACCTGTAAGACATTAGTATCAGCTTCTCCATGAACTTTGAATGGTGTGATTGTTAATCTGGATCCACCTGCAGTGTTGTTACAGGCTGAAATTAACTGTTAATTTTCAGCTAGAAATACATGCTTTTTCTTTCTTTAAATGAGTGACATGTTACCAATGTCAGATGAGGAGCAGACAGCCGAGAATGGGAGATGCTCTTGTGTGTCTGCTAAGGGTTTTGTAGCTCTATGTAATTTCTTAGTGTGAGTCTTCATATTGCACTGAGTGGCTCTTCTGTTGCTGTGATTTTGCAACAAAAGTTGTATCGGTTATTCTTTCTCATGTTTCCCCAGCATGTGGAACTCTATTGCTTGCACTAATGTGTGGTATTTCTGGAGTTGTGGCTTACCACAGCTCTGATGTAAGGACTTTTTTTATTGTGTGTGTTTAGGTCAACCAATGAAATGCAATCTTCATATGAATGGGAATGTCATTACCTCAGACCAGCCTATATTGCTGTAAGTGTCCTTTGGGGGGAAGAACCAAGTGCATATGCAGGTTCTGTTTTGAGGAGGACCTGAGGGGAGGGGACGAAAACTCTTGGCAAATTATTCTGCCATGAATATTCTTCTTCTCTTGCTCTGTGTGTCGCTCTGTGTTGAGCTGAGCGAAGTGTAGCTTGACTACCTAGTGTTCCCAGCCCTGAGGCTCAAAACAAGTCTGAGATGAGGAAGTTTTCTTGTTAGGAAAGTGTATTTTACACCTCTGTCTCTAATATTGGGAAGGGGGCAACACCGAGACCAGTAAATGCAGACAGAGTGTTAAGTTTTATTTCATAATGAGAGGTTAAATACTGTTTTTTTTAATCCTCCAGCCGATTGAGCGATACCCCTGCAGTGAAGAAGGAAGGGGAACCACGCCGGTCAAGTGCAAGCAGCTCCTCAAATCCCCCTGCTGAGGTGGACCCTGACACTATCTTGAAGGCACTCTTCAAATCCTCAGGGGTCTCTGCCTCTGTGCAGCCCACAGAATTCAAAATTAAACTCTGAGAAGGGAGAGCAAGGAGTGGACTGGAAAACCCATTGAAGTTGGGGAATGAGATGAGTGCAGGAGTGCAGATGTTATTTGCATTTGCCTGCCTTAAAATTTTTTTGTTTTCTATGATTGCTACCTTACTGTACAATAGTGTTTCCTCTTGTGTGTGTACTTTCTGTTTTCATAGTTGGAGTTTTCTTCCATGATTTTTTTCCAAAAGAATAACCTCTCCCCCTTCTACCAGTAATGTATTACCAAGCATATACCATGTAACTCCCTCCTTTATTCCAAAGCCGCTAGTGGCCATTAAACGTGCACATAGACTTTGAGGGAAGGAGTGGTGATCTCCTCCTCTTTTCTTGTGACTGACCTTTAACTAAAAGGTGCACCCTCTTGATTATCAACAGGCAACAACACCACATTGTTTCTGAAATTGCTGCGCTGGGTACAAAGTCAGGTGTGGCTCCATACAGGAAGCACCGTCTTGCATTTTTTATTTGTATGCGTTTGGTGGCATAGTACTTAATTCTGGCTGTTGGACATTTTTCTACTCAGCAGCTGTGACATTGAGAAGTGTGAAAAACTGACCTTCTCACCGTATACACAAGCCAAACGAGGCAGCAGGCAGAATGCACAAGTTCACCACCCATTGTGCTGTGGGAGGGATGCTTCAGCTCCGGTAATGCAGAGAGGTTGGGGGGGGAGGGGGAAGGCTCAGGCATTTCTACAGCAAATATATTAGCCCTGTAGGGTCAGGAGCAGTTGCTCTGTTCTTTCTGGACTGAAAAATAAGAACTAGTCTTGTGTTCAGAGCTAGAGGAAATCCAGGTATTTCACTCCCATTAGACTGTATTGCATCCTCCTGCTGATGCAGGGACATGAATTTTTTTTTTTCTTACCTTCTAACTTGCCCAGTCTTCTGTAAAAAGGAAGGAGCTGGGGCCTTTTTCAGATACTAATACATAGGAAGCAGGCTCTGCTTGCGTCCGAGAACTCACTTCTTTGAGAGATGAGGATCTGGGCAATGTTGGCTGCTACGTGAGCATGCCGCTCACATGCATGGGTTTGGAGGATGATTGCTGCACTTCATGGCTTCAGGGAGAGGTTTTGGAGAGGAGAGCAGTTAGCAGTTTGTAAGGAACACATAGGAGAATGGTGTTAAGCACGTCCCACGCAGAGCAGCAAGGATGTACCTTGGGCCAGGAGCATCTGTCACGAGCCACAGGCCACTAGGTGGCACTTCCAATAGTTCCTTTGTTAATCCAGCATTCTTGCCATGGATATTTGAAATCCCAGTAGTTCCCTTCGTTTGTATTTGTTCAAACTGTGTTTTAAGAGGTGAGAGCTAAGAGCCACTTCCAGAATCTGATTGAGGTTTGAACTTGATGAGCTAGGAGACTAACCTAATCCATTCTGTTCAGCTCTGCTGAGTTTTAATGAACTCTGTAACTGTTGGAGGTCCATATTTCATTTCTTGGCCAATCCTATGTTTCTTTTGCTTTCTTGTTCTGTATTAATTCTTTGCTCTGTCTAGCTTGTGCACAGCATTCCTCTATCTCACTGTACCTCTTCCAGCCATGGAAATAGCTGAGGGCTTGGCAGCGCTTGTTTTTCTAGAGTACTCTCTTTGGTTTGGAAACCAACACCACCGTTATTGGTAGGATGCTTCATGTGAACAGCAGATGTTTATAGAGGAGAGGACCTAAGACAGCTATTGTTCTCCTTTTTTAGATTGCCCGCCCATCAAACACCTGTGTTTTGTTAAGGAAAAAAAAATTGGGGGGAGGGGGAGGAAACATTAAGGGTTGGAGAAGTTAATGTATTACCTGTTTCTGAATAAACATTTGTTATACAGAGAGTGGATTCTAAACCTTTTTAGATGCTGTGAAGCAACTAAAGATAGGCGGAGTTGTTCCAACCTTGTATCAAGCATGCTTTTAGAAGAATATAGAAACTTCAAAGCTGATAATGTGATGAAGAGCAAGAGGTGTAAGGCTCATAAGCCTTTTAATCTGGATCATCGAAGTTAGTAGCTGATTCTTGCTACTAAGTGGGAGCAGTTTGTGTTCCCACATAGTTCAAATTCTGTTGTCACAGAAAAGAAAAAGAACAGCCTTTGTTATTGACAACGTAGTAATTTGTAAGATAATTTTATTAAAAAAATACAGCTGTGAAATTGGGGTACCTATTCTAGGTGAAGTAGGGTACTTTCATTATCAGCTAGATGGAAAGCTGTGTGAAAATGTGAAGACATGTATTGTGAGTGCGTACCTTGTCTTTTCTGAAAGAACAGGGAGGTTCAAGCACTTTTTTTATTAATAGATTCATATCCATTCCAAAAGCCAAATAGTGAGATGTACTTTGTAACTTGCTGTTAAATTGTGTATTGTGTTTAGGTTGTCTGTGATAAATCACGATGACCCTAATTTTCTTCCTTGGAAGAACTACTGCTCTGTTCTCTAGCTCTGTGATCTATGGCAGCTTTTTTTATTTTTAATCAGTGAAGTCGATGTTTGTCCAAAAACCACATCATGATTTGTCTTACAGCAGTGTCGTGGTGTGCATTGCTCTTCCTGTTCTCAGTCAGCTCTCTAAAGTAATCTTGGTTTTCTAAGACTTGATAGTGTGGCTTCTTTCCCTGGACACTGAAAGAGGAGCAACCAGTGATTCCCAGTCCTTGAGAAGGTGTTCACCTTCCAGCTCTCCAGTTCCTGGTGGCTGTACTGCAGTTGTGGTGCTCGTCTGGTTTGCATTGCACTGAGCTCACCTTCTGCCCTCACACAGCGCGCTTGTGTTTTTGTTCAGTTATTTTCTGGGCTGCTGGAGGTTATAAACTCGGATATGAGGCACAGATTGCTTGCACCAATTCCGTGTGGCTGGCCGGGGCAGGTGATACGTAATTTGCAACAGTGTTTCTCTCTTTTTCCTTTGCCTTTTCAAAAGCATGATGACTTCTGAAGCGGTGCTGCCATTTGCAAGTGTGTCTGGTATATTTTCGGAGTTTTGCATGTACCATTTCTTCTGATAATGTTCGTTTACTTGGACATTTATTAGGTTGAGTGAACTCTCCGTATCATTTCTTACTTTCACTGACCTTTTTTCACGCGGTACGTACACCCAGCCGCCGGGTGGCC